TAAATTTTAATAAAAATTGTAAAAATAGTAGTTTTGTTTTAAATAAAAAAAAATTATTAAAATTGAATTAATAAAATTACAATATAATTTTTTAACACATGAAATTTACTAATTAAATTTTTAAAAAATTTTAAAGAATTCAAAGAGTTATAAAACATTTAAATAAAAGTTTTAAAATATAAGCTTTTAAGTACAAAGTTGCAACCTAATAATAAACCAATATTAACTGTTAAATCTATAATTAATAATTAAAATTAATAGATAATCAGGCCTAAAGTATGTCATAATTTAGTACTTTGTACTTAATTTAGACAGGTAAATCTAATTCATTAATTTATAAGAAGATCTGTCAAATAATCTCTTTTTTGAATTTCTGCTACTTTTTCTTTTGTATTATCTATTAATACAAATTTATTTTTATTACTATTTGTACTGTAATCTAATTCACTATTTTCTAATTCATTATCTTCTAAAGGAAATAAATCCCCTATATCAATACAGAAATTATATAATATACAACACATATGTATATTAGTGCATTATATTTCTTTTAATAAGATCCTCTATTGACCTTTTAAGTATTCAAATGCACGTTCAATAACTATTTACATTAATAAAAGAGTTTTGTTAAACCGTTTTTCTTAATATATTAATGTATAATAATAAGGATATATTTTCATTAAATAAGTTAAAGAAGATATGCTATATCAGTAATAATATAAGTTCTACCTAGAACCTATTGTTCAGTATTTGATAAAATTGCTTGGTAAAAAGAAGAATAGTAATACACAAGTATCAGATACGCTTTCTTTAAAAAAAAAAAAATTTAGAACTGGATTTTATTAAAAATTAATAAATTTTTTACTAACCCACTTCACCAGCATATATATACAGTATGTAAAATGCCCCTAATAATTAGCAACTGCAAGAAGATTAATTGAATGAAAGTTTTTTTGATTAACATAATATGTACCATTTTCAGAAAGTGTATGAATGGGTATATGATATCTATCCATTGCACCAATAACATTAGATTTGAAAATTCAAGTTCTTTATGCTTAAATTCTTGTGTTAGGGCAGTGTTATTTATCACATGTTTTTTTTTATCAGAGGCTTATCCCCCCTAGGTTTTAATATATAATTTATCAGGTTTTATATATAAAATTTCAAATTTTTTGACTCTCCCATCCTCTAGAAAATCACCTAATAATTGTCAGCTCCCTTGCTATTACTATTTGTAGCTCTTATGGCCATGCAATTCGTTCCTTTTCCAAATCAAGTAATACCTTTAAGAATTAATCAGTAAAATGGCTTACTAATCCCTGGCTAACCTCAAAAGTTTGTTCTAATATTTGTATTTTCACTTTATTTGCCAATCGCCACAATACTATTGCAATTTGTTTTTACACAGGTGTAGCATTAGGTGCATTTGAAATAAAAACAGAATGTGTTTCTAAATGAGTCACAATTGTATGAAAATTAGCTAAATTAATGTGAAAATGTCGCCAAAAAGCATTATAGCCTTCTTCATCTATTAAAAATAGAAAAACTTCTGTTCAAAATCTACCAGCTTTAGGTCTTCTTTAATGCTGTTTTCTTGTATTTGTAAAGAAAGAGCAAGTGGAATAGTCGAGTTCATTATAATAGAACTAAATACTAAAAAATGATACAGTAAGTGCTTATTCACTATATTTGGGTATTTGAATATCTTTAATTTGTTATAAGGGTATTGAATATAAAAAGTAATGTAGTAATTCTTTGACATTGATGATAAATTTGAAGATCTATATTATTAAAGCGAAAAGAAATTATTAAAATAAAAAAAATTATTAAAGTAAAAAGAAATTATTAAAGTAAAAAGAAATTATTAAAGTAAAAAGAAATTATTAAATTGAAAAGAAATGTGCTTGAGCTATCTCTCTAATTACTCTATTAATAGTAGTTTTTAACTAATCAGTGCAACTTTATGAAAAAAAAAGGTAATTGTTAACTTCAGGTTTTTTTGATTGAAATGATGATCACAGTTAATTTTTTTAACCAATCTGATCATTTTATTAATCATTAAGTTAGGTGCTTAAGAACAATCTAACTCATATAGATCAAACAGGTTATACTAATAATAGATTATTATTGTTGTTGTTATACAAAATTTCAAATGTGATTTTCTCAAAATAGAAAAAAGCTATAAGCCGTGTTTTAATTAACTATGCCCTATATAATAATTTATATTTATATATACAATTAGAATTTTTTTTATAGCATAACTTTACAAATTCTCAAAATTTCATTTAAATTTTTTTAAACTATTATACTTTCATTTAACTTTTTTAAATTTTTATATTTTCATTTAATATATTCAAATCTTTATATTTTCGTTTATTTTTTTTAAGCTTTTATACTTTCACTTACCTTATTTTAAAATCAAAATAACCAAATTTAACAATTAATTCATCTCTTCAACTAAAGAAAAAATCATTAAAATTCAACAAACATTATGAAACAAAAATACAGACAAGTCCGTAAATCAATAAATGGCTTTATTTATCAATTTTTGTACACTACAAAAATACTTTAATAAAATTGTTGAGCTTGATAATAATATATTATTAGAACAGCTTAAGCAGTTTTTAGTTTCAGTTCAAAAATCAAATAGTCAGAAATACAAATCTTTATTACTTTACATTAGATTTTGTGCTATTGCATGAAATATATCTGAAGTGTTTGAGAGTATACATGTTGTAAATATGTTTGACAAGTATTAGTTTAAAAGTTTATACTGAACATTGGATAGTTGTATAAAATCGATTATTGAAAAAGAAAACAAAAATTATAAACAATCAGATCCATTGGATATAGAAGAAATTAAATTTATTCTTGATTCACTAGCTACAGCCACTGATACTCCTAAAGGCCTTATATGAAGAGTTTGGATTTGGCTATCTTTACTATATTGTTTGAGAGATGGTGATACTAAACAATTAAAAACTTCCTAGTTAAAAGAATTAGATAATAAAGAGATGCAATTGGAATTATCTAAAGAAAAAAATTCATATACTGAGGCAAAAATTAGCTTTATTCTACCCAATATTAAAGAAAATAAATATACACTAGTAGCAGATATTAAAAAATATTTATCAAAATATCCAAATGATATTAAAGATAATTATCTTTTCATTATGATGAATACACCAAAAAAGATTTATCAAGATGATTGATATTTGCCAAATAAATTAAAAAAAGGATCTTATGACACAATGATATATGCAATTTGCAACAACACCAAACTAGATTTTAAGAATTGTAATATTACTAATTATTCAATGTAATCAACAAATATACATAGTTTTGTTGAATCAAATATGACACTTGATAAACAAATAATTTTTTCATAATACAAAACAATTGTAGAAGTATTTGCTTATTAGTATCAATTTATTAAATGCAAGTTGGATAATATTTTTTACTTGATTCTAATTGAAGAAGCAGGTAATATATAATTTATATAATTTATTATTAAAAAATTATGTATTTATTTATTATTAACATATTTAATTATAAATTAAGGAAATACTTTCATGGCTCTATAGTGCCATGGCACTATTGTCTATTAAATATTAGTATAATATATAAATCAAAACAAACAAAATTTAATTCTTTTGACATTAGGG